ATCTGCTAACTAACCGTCGAAGTTTAAATTATGGTAAACTGCTTCATGAAACGTATCAACAGTGAGTTTTCAATAAAAAACAAACTTCCTATATACCCTAAAGTATTATATTGTGAACCCAAACATAACATTTAAATATTTTGGCGGCTTCAGTTTAAAAATTATTCTACTTAGTTAACACTTTTCTTTGTAGTAATTATCGTTGTTGATTTATAATATATCAAAATCTTGTTGGCTATTATTCATACAAATATGAAAATGAGTTATCGAATAGTTGTGGGGGGCTTACTTCATTAGGGAAGTGTAATTCAGTGCATACAATGCATTTCAAATGTTACTTTATTACATGCCATTACAATCAGTCTAATAGACACAATAGAAGTTCATGTAAATTGGATATCACTTCTGTTTACAATGTCTTTTAAGATAGATCTATTTTAAATTGAAACTTTCAATTATAATTCTAGTAGTTAAAACTAGCGTGCTACAGGATTTTTTATTCCGATTGTCAGTTAGACTCATGATTTGAGTTAGTTCTACATTATTTTTAGTAGAGTAAGGACATTATAGATTGTAGAATGCGATGAATTACTTTATTTCGTGGTTTTTATTCAGCTGCTTACAATCTAAAATTTTTGAGCAGAAATGGATGGTGACTAACAGCGAGATTCATACCAAGTGTTTCGTTCGATTTAGGACTCAACACCTAGATTTACCTGCATCCCAGAGTTGATGTTTAGTTCAGGACTCAAATCCTGAAGCCTTCGCTTCAAACTCCATTAGTTTATTCACCTAGCTGCTGAATCGTAACAGCCAATACCATATGCAATAGAGTCTATTTTAATTTTCTTTCATATATATTATTTCTTTTAATCTTTCTGTTCATGTTTAGTACTGTAATTGACCAGCCTCTTATTGACGTATACGCATCCTGACTATATCGAGGCAGTGTTGACAAGATTCATATATTTTAAAAAGAAACCAATCAATTGTAGTCCATAATATCAACGGAATAGTCTAAACAATCTATTAAACTGGGCAATAACTATTTAAAATCAAAGTACAAACTTTACATTATATGAATAAAGATTAGTTAAGTAACGGCATTTATTATGAAAATCCTTTGAAAATGAATTAATGACTATACGTCAATCTGTATAAAAGTTCTTGAAGAAGAATTTTTTTCAAAATACAATGCAATAAGCTTTTTAAAAAAGAAATGGGAAATGATGTAAAACATTACTTAGTAACAACTGTAAAATTATATTGATTACAGAGAAAAATGCGTAAAACTCATTAAAGAATACAAGAATAATATAAAAAGGAATTTACAATAGCACACCTGAGATAAACTATCACGTAAATAAACAATGGATAACATCCATTTAGATTCATTGACGCGTTAAATCTTTTATAAGCAATCGTCTAAAAAATAATCTAATGATTATAAATAAATCTATTCACGGTATACGACGTTGTGTATTCACACTACTGAAGAGTCCTGTTCGATATTTTGACGGTGGTCTAGCTAAAATCTGTCAATGATTTAAATCTAAATTCATTTGAGCAATGATTATTTTGAATTATTTTAAAGTAACAACATTGTATTCATTCTCAAGAAGATGATAGACATTCACATTGCTGAAAACATATTGACACCCAAGTCTCCGTTGTTTCTTTTTACAATATTTAACACGTAAATATTTAACCATTAGAACATTTATATAATTATTGCCTTTATTTTATTAGTCGTCATGAATATGGCATAGAGTATATGCACATTTTGAATAATTGTAATGATTAGTTTGTAGATTGTAAGACGTTTGATGGGAAAACCATGAAATAAGAAAATTCATCATTTTCAGCCAAGCTTTTTATTTATTTGCTCAGATTTATCATTTTCAGAAGGGGGTTTTGTAGAGATATTCGTTATTTTTATATAGTTAAAATCATGAGTCAATTAAAGCTAGATCGTGGATGCGCACTGCTGAGGAGTCCCACAATAGATCAAAACGACCGTCCAGTGAATTTAGATTTTCAATGATAATCTAGCTTCAATTGACTCATGATCTCAACTATATAAAGATTTATCATCTATAAAAAATCTTATAAGTTTGTCACATTGTTCGTTTCAGTCATAACAAATTTTTTGGAGGAAATATTGTAGTGAACGAGAGCAGAAATGGGAACAATCGAATGTTTGAGAACACAAAATTACAGAACTTCTAAGTAAAATCTAAGAACCATACAGTAAATACTTCATATGCAAAATGTTAATCCATTGTCTCAAATTTGACCGTTCCTTTTTGTAAATGTCGATCAATCGTCTCAGACTTCACTATTACTTCATTTCCATAGCAGTCGTTCTCTGTTCTCGTCCTTTTTTCTTTGATCCTCTTAACCTTCTGCCTAGTTAAATCTGTCAATATCAGTAACACGCACCACAATACTAGTGTGAAAATCTTACTAAATATTAGATTGGTACGCTACAATAAAACACTAAAATAGATATGCCTAAATTTCGTTATTACCAGAATGATGTGATTGTTCATGCATACTCAAAATTATAAATAAGGGCCTAATATTTTAAATGAAATCCATTGTACGTAATAAAATTTATTTTGCATTCTGAGTGTAATCTGAAAGTACTACTGCTAGAGAGAATATCTTTGATTTTTTAATGAAACTTCATTAGGTTTTAAAGAAAAAAGTAACGAGTTTGCAGTATACTATTTATCAATTTTGATGGTTTATAGCTGAAATTAGTTAAGAGGAAACCTTGAATATAGATATCCGCTAGTCGGCATTCATCAAAATTACATGTCCGCAGTTCTGGATAAATCGATGTTCCCTATAATATACGCCCACATATCATACTGCTTCACAGACTACAACGCTACTCTAGAATAGTGATCAATGTAGTATTTGTTTAGTATTTCAAACTACTATCAAACTCTAACGGTCATGCATAAACGTTGTCACTCATTCATTGTACCTGATCGTTTCTTCTGTACATTAAAATTCTTTAGTGTTTTCTTAAGACTTTTCCCATTGAATTCGAAGTTTATTATTATAATTTAAAGTTTATGAACAAAAGATTTTTTCATGAAATTGAATGGTTTGCAGATTACGTAACTAGTTTATACGCTGTCACTTACAAGTCATTTATTTTATTAGGTAAATAGACAGATTTGGTGAAATACAGATTTCCATCTGCTTAATTAAACCTAATAAGAGTTAAACTGAGCCTTCATTTTCTACAGTTTATTTTATGGTTAACAGTCAGTCAACCGTGTAAAGCTTATCAATTGCTTTTCATAATGTCACATGTCTTTGAAAATTAATTGCAAATTACCATAAAATTCTGTCTTATTGGATTATTATCAGAAGGGGTTTTTGTGGAGATCTTAGTAATTTTATAGTTAAAATCATGAGCCAATTGAAGCTAGACCACCATCGAAAACCTGGAAGCACTGAACGGCCGTTCCGTCCTATTATGGGCCTCCTCAGCATATGTTCTGTTGTTTTGTTTTGAATGTAACTATAAGTATGATCATAGTTTGTATTAATAATCTATTATCATCACAAATATATCCCCAAAGTAATCATTTCTTCTGTTATCTTAACTCAGAAAACGCACTTTTTGTTCAAGAGAATAGTTTTCAATCATTCTAGGCATGAATCGGTTCACTTAACACTAAAATATACAAATAACGAATTGTATTTCTTTTGAATTTTTAAGTATACACTTATCATTTGGTTCAAAACTTTAATTAAAGCTTTAAACTGCTCAATTGAAGCTTATTGAATATTTTAATATTATTTCACTGAAATCATGATCTGATATAAGTTAGACCATCACTGGAAATTCGGGAGCACTGGACATTCGTTTCAGTAAGGTTCAATAATCTCCATACAGATTATTAATGTTGTTTGTTTAACAACAAATAAATTAGTAAACTACATTCTAACATTTGTATCTGAATATCATTACTAATGATAACTTGAATCAAACTGTTTTATATATTTATGATCAAATATGCTTCCATCTTTGTTGATATAAGTAAATTCTGTGTGGATCACTTCGATAATATACATTTGACATTAGTTGTATTAGAACAGGTGGATTATGGCAAACAGTGGAATACAAGATGAAGATTTCATTCTATTTGAGATTTAGTAGCTAAATATATCTGAATATTACCTTGTTGTTTTTCACAATGAGGCTGAAATCCAGTACCTTTCACCATATGTTTAGACCCTAACAAGTCAACAAAAGTTTCAAAAACAACGATTATCAGCTACAAAATAACCCATTTAAAACCCGACAATATAAATGGAAACTGTCAAACAATTAGCAATTAACACTTAATTTAAAATCACTTCCTCAAAAAAAACAATTTATCGTTGATCACCTTCAGATAATATTCTTCTGAAAGAAGAATGCCTCAGTACAGTTCTATTAATGTTACCTAATTATCTTATAAATGGAATCTAAAGAATGCGTTAGCCTTGATTAAGACACTTCTATATAGTTGGTTGTGTGGATTAGTTTTGCATAAGGTATTTGCTTCTAACAGATTAGTTTAGGCTTCTTCACGATTAAAAACCTGAGAGTGAACTTCCACTATATCATTACCGTTACAATTTCCACTAGCAATCTATGAATAATCGTAGAATGCTATAAAAATATGAAGATCAAAAAAGAAGGAGAAGAATGTAAATAACTAAGTTCTAATATGATTCCATAAAAACGACGATGTGTGACTTCAATTCCCTAACTGAAATCTCTGACATGACTGTATATGCCCACTGATAAGAATTTCTGTTTTATAACTCTATACAAATAGATTATCTAAAGAAAATTAAAACTATTGCATTTAAAAATAGAAGAAAAAAAAGGAGAAGAACTTGATCTCATTTCAAACTTATCATTATCTTATAGAATTCCTTATTCTCTCTCTCTTTATATATATATATATATATTCTCTTTCTTTCAGTTGTATTTTAGATTATGAGGCTATATTTGCCTAAATTATATCTTATAATTATAACAAATACAGTTATCCTACCTGGTGTAATACTGAATGAAATTCATAGTAAACCCACAGGTAAATTATTCCTTTTCGGGTTATTTTCCCATCTACTTAATTATACATTATTATCAATTGGGTTTAATTAAAATAATATTGTATTAGGTGGTGATAAGCTAGAAAAACGTACTATAATTTATGTTCATAGACGATTTCTTTTCGTGTGTTGTACAAAAAAGTGGTTATAAGTTATTTACTTACTTATCTACGCCTGTTACTTTCAATGGAGCATGGGCCGCCGACCAGCATTCTCAAACCCACTCTGTCTTAAGCCTTCCTTTTTAGTTCTATTCAATTGCTGTTCATCCTTCTCATGTCTGTCTATATTTCTCGGTGTAATGTGTTCTTTGGACTTCCTCTTCCCCTTTGGCATGGAGGATTCCAGGCGAAGACTTGTCTTGTGACTCAGTTGGCTGCTTTCCTCAATGTGTGTTCTATCTATTTCCAGAGCTTCTTTTTGACTTCTTCCTCCGCTGAAATCTGGTTTGTTCTCTCCCACAGTAGGTTGTTGAAGATAGTATAAGTTATTTACAGTAAATATTATTCGTTGATTCTTACTCAATGCTTAATCAAAGACAAGTCGCCTATCATCTATACCTCCAGTTCTTAGAAATTGAATCAACCAGATTATTTTGAGACATGGTCACAGTTTACATTCACTGGTATTCAGAGTTCTACTGGATTTAGATGAATTTAGAGTGTATTATCTGATTTGTTTGTTTTTCTTTTCATTATGAATAGTGCTGGACAAGAATATCCAAGACGTATGTTTTTTTAATATTCTAGACTTGTCAATTGTACCACTCTGATTACAAGTGATCTCAGTGGGACTAATGTTTATTGTTAATCACTACAACACCGTGTTACTTTACCAGTTATATGAAATTTTTAATACCTTTAACTAATATTTTCAACCTTAGTGTCGTTCAAGTCAATTATCGAGAACATATAACTATTCAGTAATACTTGAGTTATATTATACTTAAATATACAAATCAGCAGGTGGATTGTTTGATAAGCAGTAGTGTATTAGTAATAAGTTATCTCCTTATCAACAAATGTTATTCTTGAACAACACGCGAATTGAATATTGAAATGATATCATAAATTTATTTACAACTGGAGACTGAGTTTCATCCTTAGATCAAATAGAATATTCTGATAATTAAACTGAAACGGGTCTTTCTGATATTTCTAATACAAAATCGTTCAAATAGATGAAGATACAAAAATAATTCACTTAGTATTGTTTGTTTGAATCTTGCCATTGATGTTTAGACTGCAACTGGTCAGTCTCTAATTAGCATATGTGAATACTGTGCGTATTGCCTCGAAACGCGAATCCTGGATTCCACTGCTAGCCACTATCCATCTTTGCTTACAATATAAAAATAGTGTTTATTAAACAAGTTTTATTTCACTGGAAGAAGCGTAGTCAACTTTCAATTGGCAAGTTAACTTCTCTATTCAGCAGTTAAGTAGGCGGAAATTAACTTAGCCTAGAATGTATATAATCCTGTAAAACGTTTGCACGTTGGAACTCATAATGGTATCAAAGAACAAAAGGTTTTATAAAGGAATAAGCGAGTTTTCTTATATCCAAGGTAAAAATCGAAATAGCTTCATATAAGAAATTTACGCAAAAATTTAAACACTTGCTTTATCGGGATAAAACAAACCTAGACAGTAATCATTCACTATAAGGAAATCGAGAATGACGATCACATATTTGATAGAGAACCATAAATTCTTACAAATTGACAAAAATTATACATTAATCCGACTGACTACCTCAATATTCACTGATAATAGTTTTGAAACTTAACTGTCTTCCTTGCTCCCTCATGTTTCTAAACACATATGGTCGGTATATCTGACTAGTATAGTGAATGAGAACATAAGTGGAGACAATCAAATGTATGAGAAAACAAAATTACAGGACATTTTAGTAAAATCTGTTAACCACACAGTAAATAATTCATTTGCAAAACGTCAATCATCTCAGACTTCATTGTTACTTCATTTCCACATCAACCATCCACTGTTCTCGTTCTCAATTCTTCGATCTTTTTAACCTTCTGCTTCCAGGCATTTCACTTTCGATTGATAATACATACTACTTATATCTGACAACATCAGTAGTACACACTGCACAAGAAAATTAAAATTACTCGTTAATCAAAGTTTCATACACTTGTAAGCTGATTTAATTCACCTAGATGTCAATCTTCTAAACTTGTCACAACACATTACTCTATATTACATTAAAACTTTAAAGCCTTAAGTACACTTGAAAATAAATAAAACAAATGATAAGGCATTCGTGTGAAAAAATTATTTTAGAAAAACAGATTAAGATACAGATATAAAGGATTCACACAACTTGCTAACGCAATAAATAATATGCTTTGTTGGTAAATTAAAATTAAGTAAATCATATGAACTGAGGCTAGCTCTAATTTAACTTTATGTAATATGGTAATAAAGAATATCCATGAAATCTTGATTGCGTAACTAAAAAAGTTCAAGAGTTAAAACCCATTTCCTGAAAACATTTGTTAAATGACTTACTTATTTATGCTGTTACCCCTCGTTGAGGAGTATAGGCTACCCACAACTATTCTCCATATAACACTGTTCCGAGAAATCCTTTCCAGTTCTTTCCAGTTAACATTCATCCTTTTCATATCTGCTTCTATTTCCCGACGCAATGTGTTCTTTGGCCTTTCACTTTTCTGTTACCCTTCCGGATTCCAAACTAGCCCTTGTCTCGTGATGCAGTTTAGTGATTTCCTCAATGTATGTTCGATCCACTTTCAACACCTTTTCCTAATTTCCTCGTCAGCTGGAAGCTTTTTTGTCCTCTCCCATAAAACGCTGTTGCTGATAGTATCCGGTCACTGAATGCTGAGTATTTTGCTTAGACAACTGTTTATTAAATGAGTGAAATGATTATTACATAACTGAAAAATTATCATATTTTGAATACAATCCGCTTGTAGAAGTTATCAATGAGATGCTTTGAAACCTAACACAACGGTATCTAGATCCAATCCATTTCTCTACAGTTGGATAGTGACTAAATTATAATTAAAATAATCGTTTTATGGAATGTTAGATTCTAGACCAAATGCATTGATAAGATGTGTGGTATAGAGACTATAATGATTTATCCATCATCCATATGCAATGATATTTGTCGTATAAACACCGAAAAACGATATGTATGGTTGTAGTGAACAGAAGACGAGCGGGGACATTGGAATGTATTCGAGCGCAAAATTACAGACTATCTCACTAAAATCTGACAACCATACAGTAAACAGTTAATTTTCAAAATAATAATCAATTTTCTCAATCTTGACTGTTCCTTCAGCAAATATCAGTCCATAATCTCCGAATATTATTGTTCATGTATTTTCATACTAATTGCGTCCCGTTCCCGTTCTCTCCTTATCGATCTTTTACTAAAATACATTCAATGCCTGACCATCGTTATATACTACTTGTGTGGATATAAGTAACACCTAAACACTGAAACACTTAACAATTTTTGTACAACTGTGAATATAATTTTACCTTTTTTTATATTTCTATGACCATATTTAAACTTTAGTTGTTATGCCAAAAATTGATTTAAACAATGAATGATATCATATTTTCTTTTAACATCATTATAGAGTATAGTGAGCATTATCTTCATCCGAATGATCTGTTATATCCTACAATTTATGAAAATTTTGAAGATGATTTACTATTAAATGAGATTAATGATGACAATGATGATAATGATGATCATACAATATCTAAAAATCGTCAACAAATTAATGAACGAACTTTTCAACCAATTGAAGATCATAGATATTGGATAAATGCTGAAAATCTACATCATAATCAACATGATGAAAATCAACATGAACATCAAGAAAGAATCATTTCAAATAATCTAATCAAGAAAATTACAGAAAATTTATTGAAACAGTCAACAGTACAACAGAATCTTCCTACTTCATCGTTATCATCATCATCATCATCACCATCGTCCATAGAACAATCAACATCATCATTACCTACATCATCTATTTTTCATTCATCATCTAGATCAGTATTACCAAATTTATGGTCAAAAAGTTCATTACATAGACCATATCGATTGAAACGTGATGATCTTGGCTGGAAAAGAAGTATTCATTACAATGTTTAAATCAATGAGACCATTGTTAACTGACAACTAACAATTAACATAATGTCTTGAACAATGAATGAATTAATTAAGATTCTAATAAATATATTTAAAAATTAATAAATTAATGAAACAGGGAGTTATTTTATTTATGATAGAATATTTACATATATACACTATATCTATAATAAAAGTTAAAGTTATATACATAAAAAATGTATCCTCATTCTATACACTTCATTGTTTGTTTTACCATTTTGATATGTTTACCTATTAGTCTGCCCCTAAGTATTTATGGATATAACTATGATTAACGTTAGAGGTGAATAGGATGATGGTTAAAGATAGTAGTCAACAGGTCGAGAAAATTCGATCTGCACAAGAAAGGATCTGACGTACATCACATTGATCGGTACCCAGTGATCAATCGATTATGTAAATATAATAAGTGAAAATTCATGAAATTCACATATAATATCTTGAGTATAATGGTGATTGCTTTTAAGGTTTTAGTTATTATCATCCAAATCATTTTTATATTTTATGTATTTAAATCATCGGGTGATTTGTGGAATGTTAGTAAAGGCTATGAACAGTCTTCAGTGTCCGTAGTTGGACTCTTTATGGTACACGAATGATAATAAACCTTGTGAAATGTTTGCTCCGTATCATTCTGTATATACTCATCAATTTGATAAGGTTAATGAGTAACAACAAAACAAATCTAATGCATTCGTAGGTACATAGATAACAAGAGACATGAATCAGAGAAGGGGAATCTGTTTACTGAATGAGTAATGGATGAGTGAGCCTTGATATAAGATGTATAATATATAAATTACCTATAACGTATGATAATATAAATAACTAACACAAAAAAGCCAATCGCACACGATAGAGTTGATACGGTTACCAATAAAAAACTACATAAGAAAGTTATATAACACATGGTCAGGTTCGAATGTCACATTTAATGCACAGACAAAAGTTGATTACCCAGGTGAATTCAAACATTTCTTCAGTGTTACAAGTATTACTATTATTATTCAACAATAATGACTCAATATTAAAGGTTGAATAATGTTGAAAGTGTAGTGCCGCGATTCGTTAACCGTTTACTTCGATAACCGTTATAATTCTAAACTTAACGGCGCGTAAAATCAGAAGACAAAGGATAGCAGCAACTACAGTTTATTGTCGAATGACTCAGGTTCGAAAGCTAACAACACCTGAGCGAATATGAACGAGCGAGTGAACAGGCAAACAAGCGAAGAAAACGAACGAGGAGCAAGCGAGGCGAGCGAACAAATAGCAAGCAATTACATAGGCAATTTATAGTCAAATTTAATAAGGGCTTAACCAAAATTGGCTATAATCGAAATTGATTGTAGGATGGTTGCTATATTACTCCCCCCTGCAAACAAAGATATATGAAAAAATGTCTGTGTTTGCATAAAGTACAGTAAATTGGATAGCGTAGTTACAATAAATCGTAGATATGGGCTTGTACAAAATTAAAATGAAGTTAATGTGCATTTAGTTCGTGCCCGTCCGTTAGGCTATACAAAATAGCGGTAAGATATTGAAGGAATATGGTATCGCTTCGAAAAAAAAATTACAAGTATAAGCGTACGGGTGTATATAAGCTGTGCCGAATTTAATAGCGTATAGCATGAATTTAATAATCCATATGCATACAATGAAGAGGAAGAATCATAATTAATAATCAAAGTAGCAGAAAATTATCAGTAAAAGATTGTAGCGACATAACGTTGCGGCCATCTTACTCTGCGACCAGATTTTGTCGTTATCGGAGTCTCTTCGTTTCGGTGCGTTAGCGTCGTTGACTCCTGGGATTCGTGTTTCGTCGGTGTGATCGTCTTCGAGAGGCTTGTGCTTGTCGATTGAAAATCGCTATCGATGAAAGCTGGCTTCACTCGATCGATACTGATTACGTCTGTCTTCCCAGCTTTTTCTACCGTGACTGTCTTATCTGTCTTCGTAATCACTTTAAATGGACCTTCATAGTCCAGAGGTGGTTGTACGTTGTCTCTTCTGATAAATACGTGCGTGCTATTATGTAGTTGCTGAGGTACGAATACTCGACGTTGTTGTAGTCTGGGAAGTGCTATTTTTAAATCGTTCATGTATTTCTTCAGGCGTTGAACGTAGTTGGCTACATCAGTCGGAACACTTTTACCTGAAGCGAAAAATTCTCCGGGCAAACGTAAAGTAATTCCATATACCAACTCGGCTGGACAACATCCCATATCCTGTTTAATTATTGTTCTTAAACCTAACATGACTAAAGGAAGCTTATTAGCCCAATCGTTATCGACAATGACAGATGTAAGGGATGCTTTCAACTGCCTATGTAGGCGTTCAACCATTCCGTTTGCCATTGGATGGTAGGATGTCGTTCGTATACGTTTAATTCCCAGGGGTTCTGTAAGCTGCTGGAAGAGTCGACTTTCGAACTGAGCTCCTCTATCGGTCGTGATAATTGCCGGTATACCATAGTAAGAAATCCAATTTTCGATTAGGGCTTTTGCTACAGATTCGGCTGAGGTGTCTTTGATTGGTACCGCTACAGGCCATCGGGTAAATCTATCGATGCATGTAAAAATATAGTTGTACCCGTTCGAAACTGGTAGTGGTCCCACAATATCGATGTGTATATGCTCAAATCGAGTGTCTGGCTGTGAAAACGAACCCATTGGCGAACTAGTATGACGGTGTACTTTGGCTTTTTGACATTTCATGCATGCTTGCGTCCAATTTCGAATATCGCGATGCATTTTCGTCCATACGAAACGCTAACTGATTAATTTCATCGTGGCTTTTATTCCCGGGTGCGATAGGTTATGGATACTTTCGAATACTTTCCGTCGCAATGGTTTAGGGATGAATGGGCGAGGTCGGCCAGTTGACATGTCACATATTACTTTCGCGTTGCCGAACTGAATATCTTCGAATAATAATGACGTCGTGTCATCGAATCTTAGCTTGTTTAGTTCGATGTCTATCTCTTGTAACTTTGCGAGACCGTGATAATCAATTCCATTTAAAATAATCGCATTTATCGTTGTTCTGGACAACGCATCTGCCACTTCGTTATTATTACCTTCAATATACTGTATGCTAGAAGTAAATTGGGAAATAAATTCTAATTGTCGAATTTCCCTCGGCGAATAGTTATCTTGCTTGGCGTTTAATGCTTTCGTGAGGGTTTATGGTCTGTATACACTGTAAAAATGGTACCCTCTATCATATGTCGGAAATGTTTGATTGCCAAGTAAATCGCTAATAGTTCTCTTCCGAATGTACTGTACCTCGTTTGTGTAGGGTTTAATCTCTTCGAGAAAAATGAAATCAGTTCCCATGTACCGTTTACTAACTGCTGCAGTACAGCTCCTACTGCTATGTTCGATGCGTCCGTCATGATGGCTAGTGGCGCTTCGCTCTTTCGTCGTACTAATATCATTTTCTCATGGAGTGTTCGCTTAGCGTTCTCAAAAGCCTGAATGGCCTATGTCGATAGACGGAATGTCCGGGTATTTCCTCGCAAAGCGTCCGTTAGTGGCTGTAGTATTGCTGTGCAGTTTGGAATAAATCGCCTATAATAGTTTATTAGTCCCAAAAATCGTCGTAACTTTTTTTGTGACTCGGGCAACGGATAATTACGAATAGCAGCAACTTCTGCTGGAACTGGCATGATACCTCGAGAATTTATCACATGACGTAGGAATTGCAATGATTTCTTTCCAAATTCACATTTCTCCACGTTAATAGTGACACCATGTTCTTGAAGTCTCGTGAATAACTGTCGTAGATGTTGTAGGTGTTCTTCGACGGTAGCGCTAGCTACTAATATATCATCAATATATGCGTATACCCCTGTCAAACCTCTAACAACCTGATCAATAAATCGCTGAAAGGTTTGAGCTGCATTAGTTAGTCCAAATGGCATTCGTAAAAACTCAAATAAACCAAATGGAGTGATTACGGCCGTTTTCGGTATGTCTTCTGGGGCCACTGGAATGTGGTAGTACGCCCGAACAAGATCAATTTTCGAAAAAATCGTAGCACTTTCCATTTCGGTAGTGATGTCGTGAATATGTGGCACTGGGTATCTATCTGCTATCGTTTGCTTGTTAAGGGCTCTATAATCTCCACATGGTCTGATTTCTCCATTCTTTTTAGGAACCATATGTAACGGAGATGCCCAGGGACTATTAGATGGCCTTATGATACCAAGTTTCATTAGTTTTTCGAATTCTCGTTTTGCAATGTTTAACCTTTTTGGGTCCAACCTTCGCGCTCTTACTCTAGTCGGTGGACCTTTCGTGATGATATGGTGCTGTACTGTATGTTTAAGATCTTTGTTGTCGTATGATGACCTCGTTAAATCGGCAAACTTATTCAGAAGTGACTTATATTGCTCGTTCCTATCTTTCGACACTATTAAATTCATAGATACATGATCGGTGGTCACTCCTCTTATGACTACTGAGCGTTCTCCATTCACTAGTTGGTTTCGTCGAGAATCTACTAATAGGTCAAAATTCTTTAAGAAATCGATACCAATTATGGGTACGGACACATCAGCGATCACAAATTCCCAGCGAAGAGAAATATTACGGCCGAAATTCAAGGTTAGTTTTCGCTTGCCATATGTCTTTATGTCTGATCTATTCGCTGCTTTAAGAGTTAACGCAGTATCGATATTTTGTTTTTCGTTGCTCAATGGAGGGACGACGCTTATCTCTGCTCCCGTGTCTACTAAAAACTGCGCGCCCGTTACTCTGTCCTGAACATAGAATAAACGATCGCTCGTGGGAACTGCTTTGATTTTCGTAGTCGTTACTGAGAATCGTTGGGATCGTTTAAATTTGCATGGAGACCTGCATTTTTGAGCTCTGTACCCAAATGTTTGGTGGTACCAGCATATAGTAAGATCTGGTAGTCCCTTAGAAAATGATCGGTTTCTATCTCTTGATCTGCTGCGCGACCAACTTCTTTTCCTGTCGTTGTGATTTAGACTCGTTAGTTTGTGGCATAGCGCATTAATTTCCTTTTGCAAGACCTCGATTCTTTCGTCAACTGTGAAGTTGAGCGTTTGTGAAGTCGCATTTCTCATTCTCTCGTAAATCTTATCGGCTATTTTAGCGATGTTGTCTATGTTTTCATCGCTATCTCCAACAGCGAGGATCTGCTGTACGTTCGGTGGGAGTCGTCGC